ATCTCCATAAATCAGCAAACGTCAAATTATTTCTCAACCGCGCCATCTACCGGAGAAAAGTTGGTAAATGATTAAGCGCACTCAGTCGCTCGTTGACAAGTTTCCGATAAGTTCTCTTTTCATTTTACAGGTATTACGAAAGACCACGTTTAATCAAATTTGCAGCATATAAAGCTCACGGGACTGGCAGTCTGCCGAAACGGTTAAAAGTTCCAATGCGCTTACTTGAAAATCCACGTTGCCGAATTTACTGAGAACAATAGTTATTACACAAGAATTACTTGCTGGCGAGAAAAATATTCCGGCATCGGCAACGCCATTTTCTCGATTGTGATAAAGGCTGACATCAACGAATTGTTTTACCCACCGATGTTTTACCATGCAATGTTCATACCTTTCGTACACATCATATTTTTGATTTTATTTTGCTTTCTTGTGGTCTTGCGTTATAGTGAATAGTGGGCACCTTTATTCTCTTATTATGCTTTCGCAAATTTGAAAAATGACTTATTATTACTGGGGAAGCAGAGCTTTAAAGGAAGGACATTTAATGTAGAAATGTACACTTCAGATGTCGAAAAATAGCCACATTTGATCACATTGTGAAAGAAAACAACAGCCTACTCCCTAAGTAGAGAAAGGTGTGAATTTCTTGCTCGCAAAATCACTAAATTTACAAGGTTGCGAATGTAACTTGAGCAAATAATGTATCGGGATGGAATCAAATGGATCATACCAACTATAAAGATAAACGAAATGTTATGTACCTTTTGCAAAATACAATGAACTCTGACGGAGATGCAGACAGATCGAACAAAAGATTGATTGAATTGAACACAATCAATTGATTGCGAAAACATTGACTATATTTACCACCTAAACTTGTTATAAGGGTCAAGTAATCCATAACAGGGCTACCCAACTATTTTCACCAAAGGTCCGTGCAAAATATTCAAAAATTACTGTGTTCCGGTCATTCCGAGAAATATATTTCAACTATGCAAACAAAATTTCAAATGCATCGTTCGACAAAATACAAGGCAAATGCTTAATATCGCGCTTCGGTATGACAAGGCTTAATTGTGTAGGTGAGAGCAAACTTTTCTGAAAAGATGTGAAATATTCGTCCTCATAGCACCTGGTCTAAATTTATTACTCAAAAGGTCCGGATTCGGTCCGCGGTCCGCCAGCTGAGTAACCCTGATCAATGGTAATATATACAGGCCATAAAACAGATTGTACTAAATCCTAAATGATAACATTTCTGCTCATTTCAATTCAATCTATGCAGACGGTTTTTTAGAATAATGTCGATTTTGAACAATAAATTGAGAATCAAGAAACTTTAAACTGAATAATATATTCAAACAGTTACATTCACTTCCGTAAACTTATTTAGATTTCGAGAAGAATAGAGATTATTTTATTTAAAATTGTATTTGGCTGTCCCAGAAATGTGCCAGTTCAGCAATAGTCTGAAGACATTTATCATAAATTTTAAGATTATAGGACTACTAATATGGGACTTGGGTATTTCATGTTTTTCAGACTACCGGTACATTCGGCATAGTTGATTATATTTTGGCCATTGGTATAATAAATGAAAATAATACCTATTCTGAATTTATACTTCAAATATACGTTTCCCAGTGTATGCATATTGCGTATACTGAAAGACATAATTGGCATTAGACATTGACTGGCCAATCTGCCGAAAACCGCTTAGGATGCGCTGAACCATGCTTTTGCCGAAGCATATCCCAATGTTGGAAAATTACTGCAAATGATTTCCACACTTCCGGTCCAAACTGCATCTACCGAAAGATTGTTTTACAGCTACGTGGTTAGAAAACATATTTGCGGAACACCACCATGGAAACTCGGCTGAATCGCTTAGCCCTGCATCTGATAAATAGGGAAATTGGATTTCCAACAGAAAAGGTTATTCTCGCGTTCATGCGGAGGAAAGCACGACGTTTAAAGGTCATATTGTAAATATACCCAATATATCGAATTGATTTTGTTTTACAGTGCTTTATTCGTTTTCTGCAACTCTTTTACACACTGTACAGGGATGCGACGAATCCAAAAAGGTTCGGCTCGGCCGAATCCCGAGTCCAATACTTTTACATAGCTCAGAAATAAATACCTAAAGTGATGCTGTTGGTCGCGTATATTGGCCGTAAATTAAACATTCTGTAAGATATGATAGACTATGTAATTCAAAACGTTGCACATAAACACTATTGCTTTCGGGACAGTCATTCGCTGAGCGGCTGGTTTAAATTAGTTTTCAAACACGTCCTACTATTCCCGTCGAAAGAATACTGTTACGTAACAATGCGCTCTGATCGACCACCGCGTCGACTGCTGCAAGACGCCGCGCCTGGTTCTATGGCGATAAATTTGATAAATATGGGTCGTAATCGTAACCCCCACGTTTGTAAGACAAATTTTATGCAAAATTTCTACTTTTCACTTACCGGTATATGTTATCTTTTTTAGTCGGCGCTGATACAGACGCCCATCTCCGTGATAATTGAGATATTAATAAAGAATTGCCAACTGTGGCAGCATCGAATAAATGTATCTTAAAAATTTATCATAACAAAATAGCTATTTCTCGTTTGAAAACCATCAATATCGATTGTCGAATCCGCGGAATAGAAGAATGTGTAATTGTTGATTGTAATTCAATAAGGGCGAAACGTGTTATATGCTAATTTGGGGCTGTCTGTTCAAACTGACACAATCATTTTCCTAATACAAATAACGGCGCGTTGAAAAGCAAAATTGAATTTATTAACATTAATTTAGAAGTGAGAGTTACGATTAAGAATTCACCAACGACTCTCGCTAACAGACAGAAACGATAAATGTGAGATTTATTATGGTGTTCTTTGTTTTCTTTCTGCGCCTATCGTTATCTTTACAATTCCCAATTTCGGTTCCATTACATTTGAACCCACGTACATTTGAACCCATGACAATTGCACCTGTATGCTATTGCACCTATGGAATTTTTTTTGTTTTTCGGATAGTTGAACCCATACTAACCCTAACCCATGGGTTTTAGCACCCGCATATAGATTAAACCCGTGGATATACACATGGGTTCAAATGTACGGTCACCCCCAATTTTGCATAAAGCGCGCCAACACCTTCTTCACATATAGAAATCTCGAACCAGATTAAGTAAGACTGGTAAATAATGTATTATACGGAAATATTATTTTAACTACGTAGAAATGTCATTATTGTCGATTTATTTAATTAATATGTTTATATGAATTCACTAATTAATAGCTGTCTTTAATATCTTCGCCGATTTGTAATCACACTTCTGCCTGAAATATAAAAACGAAACTTCGGTGTCCGGCGTTGCGTGAGAACTAATACTAGTGAAAAAGGTGCTTTAAAATATAGTTCACCAACAATATTTAGGATGTCGATCGCCGAACGATCGCGGTGACAAAAAAAAACTTTAAGAAGTAATGACGCCGCGTTGTTATCAAATCTCCAGTCTTCTAGTAATTTTCTACTATCTGTAAATAAAAAAAAATATTCGAATTATTCGATCAAGAGAAATTCTGCCCGTCACTAATCGCGGCGTATGTAAATACTTATTGAATGACAATAAAAAATCGGCCCGATTAACATTAAATTATCACGAGTAATAGTTTCACATTTCATGCACATTTATTCGATGCGACTTGCGAGGTCGTTTTTGTACATATATACGATTATAACGTCACCGGGAGCATCTGCGAGTTATACTTTTCTCTCAAAATTAATTTTCACTATTTTTATCGTTCCATTTCTAACATCTGTTTCTCTCCGGAAATAGCTAGCTCATATATGGAACAATAAATAGCGAACAGCGTGACATGGTTACCACTGATTACGGATTAATTACTGTTCGGGGATTAGCAAGTATATGCTTGGAATAGGACGTGGTAAACATTCACCAAACTACGTCTGGCAATGGTAGGCAAGCTACATGCAACTCAGGAATTTATTCAGCAGTCTTTCGCTGACATTTTTTTGTTCCTACGGCGTCGTGAATTTGCAGTTTTGGCGCCTTGTTTTAATTTCACCGTAGAGAAAATGGGCTGGACTGTCTCGGGGCAAAACAGAACGAAAAAGTTGAATTTGCGCATCAGTCTGCGCTTGACTATCGCGTGACGTATGATATCCCGGACTCGGGTAAAAGTAAAATCATCAAAGGCTCGGGCCGAATCCGAGTATCAAATTACGAGAGCTTCGGCCACGAATCCGAGCACGAGTCCGAATCTTGTCGCACCCCTAATACTACCCGTGTTATGTAATGCAAATAAACCAAACTTCAGCTTCATAGCAGCTCGGAGACAAAGCCATAAAGTTTTCTGCACTTATTTGGCGCTTGGCAAGTCGCGCCTATTAGTCGTCAACTACAAGAGCTCAAAGCTATCTAAATATGATGAATGTAAACATATAGTGTAAAAAGGTTGGGAAGTTGATAGGAACAAAAATTGTTATATTATATGTAAAATATGCACAGGCGACATTTTGTATAAATTTGCTGTTTGAATGCCAATCATATTTGTCTGGGATGTCCAAAACGAATCGTTTAAAAATTAGGGATTTGGGCCGTCAGACAAGTGGAACAGAACAACATCAATTGGTAGGAAACAACACAGAGAAAACAATGACCGTTTGTGTTGTTTTAGACATGACTAACATGAAGATAAAGTGATTTATGTAACAATTTAGAATGTATTTGATATTTCATGTTCAAAAATATTTTCTCAGAATGTATCCAAAATAGTAAAATATGATTTTGGCCATGTATTGATATTCTTTTTTGATTTGTTTTATCACATTCTGGTTCTGTACTGCCAATAAGAGCACCACCCGAATGTGACAGCAACATTTCATGCAAGAAAGTATTAGTGATTTGTACAAGTAAATCATGTTATAATATGCTTTGTCATAGAAAACCCATATCAGAAGCATCTTACCAATATTGCCTAATATTTTGTCATCCTTGTAATACAAGTTCCTGTCTCTGCAAAACATCTTGATGTCGTAAAGCGGCTTCTAATCTTTCTCTTGCAAGTTGAACACGTCTTTCTTGTTTCCTATAACAAAAGAAGCAGGATATTAGTGACCTTACAAGTTACAAAAGCCACACTAAGTAATTTATGGTCAATGAAAAAATACATAGTAAAATAAGAAATGTGAGCTCGCGTGTAAGTATGAAATTAATTGCATTCATTTTCACTTTTTTGCATAAGATCAATACAATATCTCCAGCCAAAAAATTGCACTCAACATTATTTTGAACGATGGTATTATTAATAAAATAATATAAATAACACAAAATGAATTTAGGTGACCTATACCAAAGCATAAATATATATGTTATTCTAGATACTACAGAATGCAAAAAAACATAAATTTATCAAATTTGCAATAATGAAAATGTGTCCTCCGGAATTCAGCATGTTTGACCATCAAGTTATAATAACAAAATGATTCAGTTATTCCTTTATATCTGTATGCTGTATTTCCCATATTAACTTAAATGTTACTTTCCACATGGAATATATGCTTTTTAATTCTCACTGAAAATTTAATCTTGAAATTGGCAATTCATGTAATTCCTTGTTTTGTACGTGACAAGATGTCTGACCACATTATAAAAATATATATATATATACGAAAAAACAAACTAAGGTCACAGACGCTTAATATTCCAATATACAAACAAATCATGATAGAAATGCCAGAGGCAACCTCTCCCCACGCCAAATATAAATAAACATGGAAGTTAGTGATGTAATTAGCTTTAACATAGGAAGTATGGATGTTATTGATGTAAACTATTGTCACAAAAGAAAAGTAACCAGTAAAAGTTGAAAGTGATTTAAGAGTCTTGCTGCACACTAACACAAACATATTTCTGTAACGTTTCGTCTGACCAAGGTCAGACTTGTAGAGTTCAACTATAGTTCCATGCAAGCAAGACTCTTGAATCACTTAGGATAGTTATCTTTACTCTTGCTACAGCATCCTTGCATTATATGCATACAGATCCACCGGCACAGAAGCATAGAAGAAGGATAAGTAGTTAGTCTCGCAGAAACCAAATCATTAGTAAAAGTTGAAAGACAGATAAAGTAGTTATGACAAAGCTGTGTTAGAGGAAATATGATTTATATTGTACCATGCTTATGTGCTGTTTCTCTGTCAGTATTCTTTGTTAACTAACATCCCTAACAGTAAGTACATCATCTGTATTTATGTTGCATTAGAGCAGGGGTCACCAAACTACGGTCCGCGGCGTCATTTTATCCGGCCCGCAATAACACGGAAAAATGGCATAATTTTGTTCCAAGGGAGATTTTCCCCAAGCATCGTCTTTCTTGTTTATTTCGTAACATTCGCCAATCAGCAAGATGCAAGAAGTGACGTAATAATAGGCCTTTTCGCATCCGCTCAGACACTTTTGTCACCCTGGCAGATTTCAGTTGTGGTTGTAAACAATACTTCGTTTTTGCGACTTTGAATGCTATTCGTTAGTTTTTGGTTGTGTTTCGGAAATTTAAGTATGAATCAAAAGAGTCAATCATGATTTGCCTCCTCAGGAGTTGTAATTTTAGTACCGCCTGACAGGCCAATTTTTCCCATAAGGATTGTATTCCTTTTTTGATAAGAACTGTAATAAATATGAAAAAAGAACACATATCAATCACTAATCTTTCGATGTTCGTCACATCTATGAAATATTGAGACTATTTCAGAATTTTATTATGGCAACGGTCATTGACACCGCCGAAAGATCGTCGCAAATAAACGCTGGAGTCTTGCATGATAGTTTGACAGTGATTCATTGTGGGTAATAATTAACGATGTTCTGATTGTAAAAATTTCATAAAAATTGGTAAGTTCATATAAATTTAATTGGTGTCTATAAACAATATCATTAATTTGCACTACGTATAACCGGAGCATAATTTTTGAATGTTGGGAAATTTATGCACTAATGAAAAAAATCAAATATCAGATAATAGTCATTTATTTTATCTAAATTATGTCAAAATTTCATGGAATTCCAAGCTACAGCAGGCAGTCCGCAGTCGTGATGCGTACATTATTTGACGCGAAAAGCGGATTTTGTAACATTCCTAATTCATGACAGCAACGTTCTAATAACAGCTAATCTCAGGATAGTTGTCTAGATATAGAAATCTTGTATATTTGTTTTCCTAGGATGTTCTCGACATATATTCTGCGATATAGATAGAATTTAATATTCTTCAGAAATGTAGAATATATATTGTTGAATAAATTGAATGGATTTCCCAACTTTTGTGAGTTTATTTATTGTATTGCATTTATTGTATTCCGGCCCCTTTCAACACAGTTTGAGTCATATCCGGCCTGCGGTCAAAAGAGTTTGGTGACCCCTGCATTAGAGTAAAACAGTTAGGTAAATAAAGCTACTAACCTGACACATAATGTTTTCAATAAGCATTGACATCAATTTGAATTATTGTTTGCCGAAAGCTTTTTAAAAATGCTATCTGTGCTGCTAAATAATTGATTCAAATAGTAGTTAAAAAATTAAATAATAGTAAGCTGCAGTTTATCATTACCGACCGATTTCTTGGTTCTATGATTGCCTATTAATTGTGAACATCTTGTTTTAGATGGGCTATCATTTGTATGTAGTAGAAAATAGAGATATATATTCAATTAAATTTTTTTTACCCCTATCTTTTTAGTTTTTTTTACGATTATGAATGTTTGGCGGTAAATATGAACTTCGACCCCAAGTGCGGTAGTTAGATTGTCACAGTTTTATTTTTGCAAAATTCGCGATTGTGTAATATATTTTATGGTAGCATGATAGTGCAAGAGGGAGTGAATATGTAATTGATTTTGTCATTTTCTATCTGATTTGATTTGATTAAAAAAAGTTTGTCTTTGACAATGACACGTGAATGAATGATTGTATAGTTTTGTTATATATTGGTTAGAAAAAGACAAACTTGCAGTGACCTAGTTGTTAAGTCATTAGGCTTAACTATACATGTTAAAATCTCGGGTTTGAACCGCATGCCCACCACCAGGGTGCGATAAATTGGGTGACCAAGGTCAAATCAGTCCCTCTAAAATGCAATAGCTCCTCACATAAAATTGCTTGTCTGTGCAGAGACTTCTTCAGAGCAAAAGGCATATAAATACACTGTATATAAAAACATAATACTGTAGTCCAGGGATGGCCATTTCCGAATACTAAACTATTCCGAATACATTCTAAAATAATGTTTTCGAATCTGGAATTCCGAATACATTCTAAAATCGAAAATAACACATTTTTGTTTTAGTTGATTAAAACCCAGTAAATTAGGACATAAGCTTCAATAGGAATATCAGAATGAAGCCATAAACCAACAGTATATGTACACAAAGTAATTGATAGTTCACAGCTATCAATAAAAAATAATAGCAACTTGTGACACAGTCAGTTTATTAAAATTATTCACTTTGTACAAATGACCATATGAAAAGATAGCCAAGGAGTTGTCTGACGCTTTCTATCATTGGTACCATGATATTACGATAATAGTCAAGTCTATTGACAAAAATACTACTTGTATTCAGATAATTGTGTTTATTTTCTGAGAGTAATAAAAATTTATTGGCAATACAGGCAACAACAATCCAAAATCCATTATGCCTTTAGAAATTCTAATATTTAAGCCTGAGGTATTCTACTACCTATCAGTATATTTGTATATTAATTTATGTGAACCATATTGTTATTATGTGTAACATATTGTTGTGTTTGGAATTAGAAATAAATTAGTAGAGAACAGATGACCACCACTGCCAGCGCGCAGCCAGGATTTTCGAAATCGGAAATTCCCATTGCCGCCTGTAACACCCACCGCGATTTCGCGCTCGTTAAAAGAGCCGTCTTTTCAGCGTATAATGATCATTCTGTTACGTAAAATATCCAATCCATGACATCTACGAGATTATAAAATATCTTTATATATTAATTCAATGTGTCCAACGTAACTCGCGGTTGCTTCTTCTTACGTCAAAAAAAAAAACATTACTATTAGGTCCACGGCGATCTGTGGCCTAAAATTACGAGATAAACTGCCTGATGTATTTAATTTTAATACGTATTTTTGCAATCTTGCCAACTCGTTATCGCCGTTAGAAAAATCTCAAATAATTATATAAAATCCTGTTAAGTGTAGAGTATAATTCATTTCATACAATGAATATACATATAAACTGTGTTAAAAGAGTCGACTTTTACAACAAATAATATAACAACGAATATATATTTTTCTGTTGTGCGAAGTGATGAATTCGTGACCGACACGCGTATTTAAAATGTCTTGCTTTATTAATTTAATTGTCTTCAATTTAACCTGCGGTTGCGTCGACAAAATAAAATCCTCACCGCTCTTATATACCATTGCAATCCGCGGTTATAAAAATAAAAATGTGAGGTAAACTGTCCAATTATATATTGTTTTGATCCGTATTTTGCGAATTGGGCAAATATTTAGATGTACTTGTTAACAGTGACTCCGCTCGATCGAAATGCTGCCACTCTGATTATTTTTAGATAGAACCGTTCGAAAAATCCATAAATATGCAGTAATATCTCAGAGTAAAATTTATTTCATCACAATAAAATTGATTGAATATACTTTAGATTTATTATATTATATACATCCTCACAACCCGGGAAAAAGTCGCGTTTCAAACCTTGTATCGTGTTACCACGAAAATATTCGACGGCAATTTAAAGTAATGGATAATCAGGCAAATCACGCCCTCAATTAGTGACGATATTTTTCTAAACGCCGACCAAAATTTTACGATTTTCACTGCCTAGAAAAGCGTTTTTTAAATTTTCGCGGGCCTCAATAAAACTTATATTGTTTACGATTTTATTTTCAGTATTTTAAATTGCCGCTTTTCAATCAAAAAGTTGCGTTGTCTTTAGAAACTCGCCGCCAATGAACGTATTTACCAGATTCACAATTCCGTGCGCGTACAAAAATAAAATAAATGTTATCGTTATCGTGGAACAAATTTGTGGAAAATTTTCGTTTTAGAGAAAATAACACAATCGTAAAGGCGTTTATGGCCTAAATAACACGTTACGCTGATGAGTGATGAAAACAATCACGCGCAAGTTTCTATCGAGAATGTTTTCATTCAACGGAAACGTCTTGAAAGCTGCGTCGAAAATGTGTGACGTCACACTAATATCCGATATTCTTCACATAGAGCTCGACCGATATCACTTTTTGGCACCGATACCGATAACGATATATCGGCCAACTAGTGACCGATAACCGATATCGACATACCGATATCTACAACCTGAACCCGCAGTAAATACTAGTAAGAAAAATTCAGTTTCAGTCAATCAAAAGTTTATCTTGAAAAATAAAGCAGTCCTACACAGTGCTTGCATCATTGATAAAAGTTTCACAGCAAATAATAAGAACACACACAGAAGGCAATGTTTGAAAAAACCAAGCACAAAAGAAAAAAGGCAGTCAGTAAAAAGGTTCTGGAAGTCCATTCTGATCCATACAGTAGTAGGTGGGAGTAGGCTTGCACGTAATTTACGGAATTACGTAATTATTTCGAGTTACAAATTACGTTACAAATTACGTAAAGTCGTAATTATTGGTCGAGCGCTTTCGCGTTTGAAACGTACTCCTTCAAAGCAGTCAATTCCGTCGATTGTAAAAATGAAAGTTTAACAAGTAGAAGAAGTTACAGTTACGGTATTCGCTCCGTTTCTCTCTCTCTCGTTACGCAGGTGGGGGAAGGCATGACACGTTGCCACCCCGTTTGAGCGTTTGGTTTCACGGTCAAAACGATATTATTATGAGCGTTATCACCGTAACGCAATTAACACCGACAGGCTTTTTTGTTTTCACGATTTGGTATCTTTTTTATTCGGCGCTGATAATGATAAATAAGAATGTGTGATAGTTGATTGTAATTCCGGAAGGCGTATTTTTCTTTCTCTCCGAGAAACAGACATGAAACGAATTTACCGCCGCTATGGGCCCTCAAAAGGAGAGAAGGCTACTTTCTTTTCCCGACTCAATCACTTTTATTAATACAAATCACGGCGCATTAAAAAACAAAATAGAATTTATTAGCATTAATTTACAACGAGTTACGGGTAAGAATTTATCGCCGGCCAAATAATTAATATTTGATCCAAATTTATCGCAAATAATGTTATAACATTTAGGCCGCGAAATAATTTGATATAAAATGAAGCTTGGTAATCGGAATATCGTCAATAATTCAGCATCAATAATTATTATAAAATGCTAACTAGGTAGCAAAGTCGGATAATGTAAAAAACGTAGCAATAACAAGTCGTCGCGAGGCAAGCGCAGGTATAATCAGACGAGAGAACGCGCTTGTCGTTGATTAATAACTTAGAAACCCGAAATTTTTATTCAATACGAAAGTCGATTTTAAAAAAGCCAACTATCGTTTCATAAATATCCGTATACCAGTGTCGGTAATGATAAAATTGATCGCATAAAATTGGGACGGTTAATTTGCGAAGATGATAAAGGAAAATCACAGCCAACACAAAAGATAAAAATCAGAATAAATTTAATTTGAATCCACTCCTTGGTATTTGTCTTTAACATCTGTCGCCGGCGTGTAGTACTGTCGGTAATATGAAAACCAATTTCGATGTCCCGTTCGGAAAAGAAGTGGATTCAAATGGTTGTTATGATAGGTTTAAATGTGTGAAAAAATATCGCAATTACGGGGTCATTACGTAATTAATTTTGCCGTAATTACAGAATTGATTTTTGTCGATTACGTGCAAGCCTAGTTGGGACGCAAGATATTCGAAGGCGAGGATTTTGCGCCGCACGAAGAGATAAAAGAGAGAGAGAAATATAGAAGAGAACTCTGTTCACTGAAAGGCAAAATGAGAGAAGCGAAAAAAAGAAAACGCTCGGCCGCAGATATTTCCCGGGCAAAAATACTCATTTTTTAGAACGTGGAAAAGCGACGAACACTGATATATATCGGCCAGATATATCGGCCGGTTGGGCCGATATGATATATCGGCAAACACGCAATATCGGCCCGATATATCGGTTGGCCGATATATCGGTCGAGCTCTATGAACGTGAATTCCGATATTCGAATGACGAGATATTCGAATACATTCGAATACTTTATTCGAATTGGCCATCCCTGCTGTAGTCTTTTCCAAAGCGTATATATAATACAAGCGGGGCAACGCTCAGACAATGGACACCATCTTGTGCCAATTGTTCTCGGCCATATAACATGGCGCCTTATGAGAAGTTTGCGCACAATTATTGAAACGTACCTATCATTTTCACTAATATTTTAAGTAGAAAGATTTTGAAAGTCGCGTTTTGAAGTAGAATCTCAGCCGAACATGATGATATCCTTTTATGTTTGCCAAATTGCATTTATAGTACATTAAATTGTATTTGAAGACAAGTAAACTGTTCCAAGTTGCTTCTGGAGTAAGTTGGCCAGTTTCATCGTCATAATTGACCATTTGACAATGGCGTTCCTTATGATGTCACAGATGGAAAGTTGTATTTATTCGTCGAAATCACCGGCCGTTCGCTTCAATGGCCGTTTCTGTTTTCGGGTTTTAAATAAATTAAGTCATTTTTAGTTTAAGTATTATTGTTTTCTTATCAAAACTTTGTTCAAAAATGTTGTACATAAAAATTTATGATTTTTTGCAATAAATACGGTAAATTGCAATAATAGTGAAATGCAAAAACTAATATGTGAATGGGATTTTTTAATTTAAGAAAACTTCAATCGGCTGTTTAATAACATCACAAACTACACCTATCTAAAAATATGCTCCAAGTATACAACTGTTTGCGGCCCTTTTCACAATTCCGAAAATGCAATGCATCCCTGGAACACCCACGAGTTTGACACCCTGGTTTATATGATTGATTAATATTAGGTTTGTATTTAATCAATGCTGTTTAAACTTACTGTTGCTGGCACTGTAGTTTTTTTGTCTGTGAAGCGATTGGTGTAAAATAACGATTGGTAATAATTACTAATTGCTAAATATAAAATTTATTACTCTAATATTATAATAGAAACAATATGAGATAGTTTTCAGTTGAACGATTTTTGCCCCACTCAGTTGAAATATAATATAAATTATGTTGAGTATAGTAAAGTAATATTTTTGCTGTTTTGACAATAAATTTCTCAAATTCACTATTTGATATTTGAAAAATAATTCTAAAATATTTCAATTGTACTATTAAATAATATTTTTTTGCATGTTAGAGCAGGGTTTACCAAACTGTGGTCACTTCTGTGATGACTGCACAGGGGTCTGCAACGATATAAAAAGAGTTTGGTCGATGTTTAATAATTGATTTGTAATAAACAAGCCATTGAATCTTTTTGGTTGAGCGTTGCGAACGATATCCGTTGCTGTCAGAATTAAAAATTTTATTGCCTTTCGCAACAACCTACATGTGTAAGGCTTTTGAACACAGGTCGAGACTTGCCTTGAGCTAGACGGGGAAAGCCAATAAAATTGAAGGAATTGGTAATTAGCTATACCCGCAGAAGCATTTTTTTAAGTATGGTAGCTAGATAGTCACATTAGGCGCCTTTGCCCGTGGCTCTTATCTGAATCTTGAACACATAGACTTGCATAACTTACTAATAAGTTTACCCTGGTTTTCGCTATTGAAGAAATTGAAATATCAGTAGCTAAAGTACTGACATAATATTGCGAAATGGACTAATACAGAACATGTTATGCAGCAAATATCTTACATCAGATTGTTGTAGCAACTAATACTAGAAATACCCACCTAACATCATCTTCAGTAACAACAAATGCTTTACAGAGTGGTTGTTGAGTGTTCAACCAGACACAAGCATCCTTCATAACAACGCTAGATGTCTGTCCTGTTATTGGTGGTCCTCCATGATGTAATTGGGTGGCGATTCTTCGTAATAATGCATCCGAACTTGTGTCTGGGCCTACAGCTAAAACACAAATTAAACATGAAGTAAGAATGGAATTGGAATAAATCTTATTAAAAACCTTTATATAGGAAAAACAAAGTTTCAAAAAACAAAGTTTCAATAAAATATTAAAAAAAAGTATTCTAACACATTTTGGTAAAAAAAATTGAATAATAGGTGTAAGATAACTTGTTATTTTCTCTCAGCTTTTCACCTAGATTTCCTGTTAGCCCTTGATATGTACTTCCAGAGAATCACAGTAATTTTTGCCTTGTGAAAATGGGGAGAATTTCCCCGTAAAACTGTTATTATAACATGTGTTTTTGGTATTCCATGCAGTGGCGCAACCAGGCCGTTTTCAACGAGGGGGTAGGGGGTCCGGCCCAGGGGCGCAGCCAGCGGGAGGGGGGGGGTACATGGGTCGTAACCCCCGTTTGAGAAAAATTTTTGATGTGAATTTCATCTACAAAAATACAACGACGTAGTTTTACGATCGCGCATCATGGTTTCGCGGTCGCGTTATCACCGTAACGCGATTAACACCTACAGACTTTTTCTGTCTTCAAGATATGTTATCTTTTTTCGTTAACAGTGATAATGATAAATAATAATGTGTAATTGTTGATTGCAATTTCGGAAGGCGTATTTTCCCTTCTCTCCATGAAACATACATAAAACGAATTTACCCGCGTTATGGGCGCTCAAAAGGAGGGAAGGGTTATAAGCTAATTCATAGACTTTCTTTTCCCGACTCAATCACTTTTATTAATACAAATCACAGCGCATTGAAGAGCAAAATATAATTTATTAACATTAATTTACAATGAGTTACGTGTGAGAATTTACCGACGGCTATCGCCAACTGGTAGAAACGATAAATGTAAAAACAAAATTGCCTTGCCTCTTTGCGTCATATTTTTCAATTCCTAATTTTGCATTAAGCACGTCAACACCGTTTTTGTGAATTTAGAAACGTCAAACCAGATAAGTAAGATAGGTAAATAATGTATTTTATGGAAATTTCTTGAGATATTGGGAAGAAATATATATTATTTTGACCACGTAGAAATGCAATTATTGCCGATTTATTCATGTGTTTAGTATCAGTGTTTTGACCCAAAGCCGAGTTACGTAAATACTCAACATCGAGTATTCAAGAGATTACCGATTTGCAGAGCTTTTAATTATTATTTAATACGAAAATAACACCGACACGATCTAAAATTAAAGGCATAAAAATGTCACTATCCGCTTCACAAATATCGCATCCCTGGGTCAGTAATGATAATATTGTTCGCTTAAAACTGGGACCGTAATTTACAAACTGGGATACAAATCCTACACAGAAGATAATAAGGAGAATAAAATTAATTTGTGTTGTGAATGCACTCCTTAATAGTTGTCTCTAACATATTCGCCGATGTGAACTAACTATACGGTCCGAAAATAAAAACCAAACTACGATATCCGCCGTTGCGTGAGGATTAATATTTGAATAAAAAAGTGCTTTAATATAATTTAACAACATTAATGTCGGCCGCCGAAGAGATCGCGGTGCCAAAAAATTTACTGCAGCCTTCGATTATGACAAAATTAGGAAATAAAAAACGCCGCATTGTTACGGAGTTTTCAGTCTTCTAGTAAAATCCGAAATAACAAATATTTATTCTCCATCCAAATTAATGTTTAAAATGACAATACTCATTATTCGGTGTTCGTTGAAAATATTCGGATACCTCTAGTAAAAAAATACGATTTGACCCGCCACTAATCACCGCGCATGTAAATAATCATTGAATGGCAATAAAAAATCAACCTATTTAACAATAAATTCCAAGTAATAGTTTCACATTTCATGTATTTGATCGGCGCTACATGCGAGCGTGTTTTTTTGTACATATAAACCATCATGACTCTACTCACACTTGCTCTAAAATTAATTTTCGCGATATTTATTGTTTTATTTTTAAATGCGGGTACCGCTGACTACGGATTAATGGTCGATGTTTGAAATAGGACTTGCAAAATATTCACTAAAAACACCGTCAGGCAAAGAGGGACGGGCTACACGTACCTGTGGAATTTCGCTGTGAACGACCACGCATTTTAGTTTATTAAACGCATTATTACGCCGTTGTGAAATTTCGAATATTAAATTTGAATTGGACATTCCTGCATTAAATTAATCTAAAATAAACCAATATCATCACACACGTTTTTTCGGTTTTCGGTTTTCGACCTTTAATATGTAGAAAATCTTACTTTAGTCAAAGCAATATTATTTCGAAAATAATTTTCGTATCCAGATTTTCAGAGTTTCTACTGCAGTATTATAACATGAAGACGTTAAATTGGGTCAAGTTGATGAAGCACGAGAGTTTTCGTCACAAGAGAAAGAGATTGCGTGATCCTATTGTCGTTTTCAATTCGACAGCGACAGCATCGACAGCGTGCGTGCGATTTCTACTTTTTTGAGGTAACATATGTCATTTTGGAATGCAAACAAATATAGCGTCATTATTAGGCAACTAACAGCAATAAGGTATGATTGGAGTCGGGCGGTGTAAAATTACGTTGAGGTGATAAAGCACTGGGAAAAAGTAGTTTTCACCGGAGTGTTATAATCGTAGAACGACGTTATTTGAACGTAAAACAATATCTAAAAAAACGAATTTCATAAGGAGGACAGGCCCCCGGTAACCCCCCTCAAAAATCTTGAAATTATTGAAAAAAAAATTCTTTTTATCTATTTTTCATAAATTTTTTTGGGATGTAACCGATTAAAAAATAATAATTGCAGAAACAAAATTTTGTTACAATGTGTTATTTTATTACCTTGTAAAGCTTTAGGCAGATCAAGGGCAGTGATGATATTATTTGACACATCAATGGCATTCAAACCAGACAATCGCTTTTCTTTGAAGAGCTGTTAAAAATTAAATTTTCTGTAAACATACTTAAAATATCTTTAAAGCCCATAGGTCATAGTTTTCACCACAAAACCATCATCTATTCAACTTTCTGCAATTTTCACAAGAGTTAATACATTGTGACAAGGATTATGTCTATTTACATAACCTTGGGCCTTAATATTAAAGTACTGGATTTTGTAAAATGACTATCAAATTGATACTAAAAGGTTTATTCTGTTTGTGTAACCTTGGGATTTCATAATTCTGTATTGAATTGAATTGGTTCATATCAACATATTTCGGTGTATGTAAACGTGTTCAAATTTTTTTCTGAATTTAAGAAGAATAAAATGAAAAAAAGATAAATATATCTGATTGAAAGTTTTGTATTAATAATAATAATCATTTTAAAAGAAGGTGGCCAGTAATTGAAAGGAACATTAGTAGATCAGCATAATAATGGGCGCTCCAGAAGTGTATGTATCAATATGGAGGTAGCTAATTTTGTCCGCCTACTTTACATCAAGTTGTGTGAAGGGACTGAAACCTATGGGCAGGGGGTATATTCACTTGGCTAACACAGAAAGTCCCCTGACTTGTAATAGAACTAAAATATTTTCATTTCAACCAGAAAGCTTAAGGAAAATCAGAATAAAATTATGGCCTAACCCTAACCTGGTACATATACTACGGGAGTACCTAATAATGAATGAAAAATGAATCAGATGCTTTTTAATGATGAGGTGTAATGGGCGTTTCCAAATAGCGTTTGAGAATAGTGTTGATGTTTGAATGGTCAGAAAAATAAATCCAAAAGACGAAATTTCTAAAGATATTCAGAATCATCAAAAAATTTATTTAGAAATTGATGACCTGTCAATATCAATATCACATGTTATAAGTCTAAATTAAATACTCCGAATTACTACATTAAACATATTTTAATATATGAACAGTTTTCCAAAGGTATCTGATAAAAAGAAAAATTTCAAGAATCTGAAATCTTGAAAATTTTGTTTACTCTCCTTTTGTCCAATAAAATCAATAGTATGAGACAGTTACAGGGACATAAAAGACAAACTACTATGATCAGCGAAAAGAATCGCAATTCGTAATAGTCAAACTTATGGCAACTTTGAAATACCCAGTAGTATAACAAATATGCATCTAAGTTCAATAACCTGTTGTGGACTCTTGTTCTGATTTCTTGTTGCATCTTGTTTGACTTTGCTGTTCTTATGGTTGGTTCGTTTTGTCACGGGTTGTTTAAATATTGAAGCAGTCTGTCTTACTGGGAGTGACGTGTCTAGGTCACTTCGACCATTCTGAAAGAAAGCAAATAGTAGTTTCATTGTTTGCTAATTGCAGTGTAACAGTTTAGTTGCAAGCAGGGGATAATATACCAGAACAACGATAGAATACAATGTAGGTGATACCAATCTCTGGTAACAATCAGGTTTAGTATTCAGTATGCATCACAGAATCAAGGGATGTGAAGTTTAAATTTATTATTATGACATCATAAAACACCTAGCTTATTGGGGTGTTTATTTTTCAATAAGTTTGATTTAGAGGCAGCTTGTTTTATATATAGGTATCAAAGAATCAGTTCGTTGTACCTTTTTACCAATACCTACTGCAAACAAGAGATAAATGAAATATAAAGAACATAAAAATAGTGAACCCCACCAAAAACCTTCTATGGTACAACTGTGACTACAGGGAGTCCTCGACCTACGACGTTGTTCCGTTCTTGAAACGCGGTCTAACCCGAATTTCAGTGTAAGTCGGAACATTATACATAAATTACTCTATACATATCGTACTCTATTGTAAAGTATGGTACTGTAATAAAATGTACAAATAATGCAAAAAAGTACTTTATTAGAAAAACAGAAAACAATTCCATATCACATGAATAAAAGCAAATACAGTACAGTATTAATAAGATGGTGGGAAATCGGGGTAGTAGAGGCTCTGTAGTAATTAGTATTACCAGGATATTTTATATTTTTATGGAGTGTGTTCGTAATCTATATTATATATATTACTACAAATTTTTTTTACAAATATTAAGCTAACTAAGTGTTCAATATGCAATACACAGTGATGATTCATAAATGTATTCCTTTATAATGATATTACTGACATATTTGCCTGTGATGCATCACTACATACTGTTGGTTATTTGTGGTTTCCCCAGTAATTGTGTTAATCACTCAACCCTGAAGCGATTTTCTGAGAAAGTCTTTGAATATTGAATAGCACATAAACAATAGCGTTGAAAGACTCTAAAAGTGTATAAGGATGTCATGAAAACCCATGAGAGAAAACATTCGTTATTATAAATATTACGCAAATATGTCTAATCGTCAAGGCATACTGACATAGGATAAACACAGGATAAAACGCTGCATTTATTTATATGTCGTCAGTTTGAAAATGAACTGAGCGAGGTGAATCTTTAATATACATCTTAGAGCCAAGTTTATTGTAGAGGTTAATTGAAATATGTTTCCAGTAGCAGTGATTGCAAGTTGAGCTTTTAGAATACGCATTTGCAGCTAAAAAACAAGATGCTAGAAACACAAATAAATATAGGCAGATTGCACTTTAGTAAGTAGGCTACAATTAAAGTATTTTTCATGATTTGGAGATTCAGATACATTATAGTCAGGGCTGCAATAACGTTCTTATTTCTAAGATTTGTCCTTATTTCGGAAGTCTTTGTCTTCGAAAATATTTTTGCCCTTATTTTGACATGTGTCCTTATTTTTGTTCTATTCCAGGGGTAGAGGTTCTTATACAGGGGACTCAGATTGTTAAATTCGAATGATTGAATTGCTAGAAATGATATTAGAACCTACACGCATTGCTATGCGCATTCATGATGTAATAACAGCAAATTAATTGCCACAATGATAAAACAAAAGCCTACCGACAAAGATTAGTTCGTGTAACTTGAATCAAAATACAACTTAAAAGAGAGATGGAACAGATAGTTTCTAAGAACTGCAGTAACAAATCTACTCTAGTGCAAAGTATGATTAGACACTGGTCGCACTGGCATGAATGCACTTTGTTTATTACATTTTGTTCTTTGTTATCTAGTTTGTTACAGTTGATTGCACTAATAATGTTCTTGTTTTGAATTTTGCCTATCTTACATGACCATGTGAATTAAATTTGCTTTAGTTTCTAATACCACTTTCATTTGTTTCCCTATGTACTTAACTTAATATTGACAATACTGGTTCAATAATCATAATTGACTGGATTGGATTTGTGTCCAGTATAATGCCAGTAAGATTTCACACACGTTACATTTATGACTGGACCCTTCTGAATTGAATAATTGATTTATCTGATTGCATTCCGAAATATTGATCACCCATCAAGAACACACAATGCCAGATGTGTTGTATGAGCATCATTGTGTATATAAAATAAAACAATGGTTACATTCATTATATGAATTGTTTTAGCTGACATAAGGTGGTGTACAGAGTCAGAAAAGGGAGCTCCAGAAGTATGTGCATCAAGATGGTGCACAACCTGAACATAGTATGTGTACCAGGTTGGGGTTCAGGTTGTGCGCCATCTTGGTGCACATACTTCGGGAGCGCCCAGAAAAGAATGGAGTGATATCTAATATTAACAATTTATTTTGTTTTATAGAATAGATATTGCACAATCTAGACAGACTTCCAAGTTCAAAAGAAAAGAAAATGAAGAACAGTAGAATAAAAGCTAATCTTTTTTATGTATCAATTTCATTTTTATTGAATGAGAGTGCATACTTTGCACTGGAAGGTGAGTAATAGATAAACAGCAAATAGTATACCGGTAAAATATACCAATGCACAAAACGAGAATATCGGTCAGAGACCGAAGACTTATCGATCGAAAGTTAGGGTATCCCCCAAAACAGAAACTGTGGTTTCGATTCGTTCGACTCCATAGTGACACTGCGTGTCCCATCACCAATTAATTAATACCTCACTAATTATACGACATAATTCATCCAAAATTGATCTTAAGATCGATAAGTAATAAAACAAGAATCAATATAGAGAGAATTTGAAGTAACAGATGACATTGACTTGTTTAATATTTTCAGGCCTTCAAAGCAGTTTGAATGATAAAGTTGGAACTCAGTCATTGAGTGCATTATACTCATCATATGTTTTGACGTCATTATTTCTTCCTTCATTGGCAATGAATTACTTGCAAAGTCGAAAAGCAATGGCACTGGCAACTTCAGCCTATGCAGTTTATACTATTGGTAATGATATGTGAGGAGTTTATATTTCTGAAAGGAACAAAATCTTTCTTGACCAGTAGTCTGCGATGCAGAGTTGCAGACACAGTTAAGTCTAACGCTTCAGCCGCTAGTCCATCGCATCCCTGTTCAATGGTACTTTCTAATGCATTCCCTTGAATTAATAATTTAAATAAGGAATAATTTTTCGGAATACAAACACTTATATTCTTCATGAAATGACTTTTTATTTTTTTTTTATTATTCAATAAACATCTTGTTTTTTTCTGAATTGCAGCAAATTTCTATCCTCGTTGGTACACATTGATACCCGCAGCTGTAATACTTGGATCATCGAGTTCAGTACTATGGTCAGCAAGCAGAGTTTATATCAGTGATTTGGCAGTTGCTTATGCCGACCAAAACAAGGAGAACCACGCAAAAACAACAACAAAATTTTTTGGAGTTTTCTTTGCAATTTTCTCACTATCTATGGTAATCGGAAATGTGATGTCTTCAGTTGTGTTTCAACTATCAAGCAATGTTAATACAATAGCAGTGAAAGAAACCGTCAATATTTCGTCCATAACCACAGTGAGTTATAACGCGATTGCGTCAACATATGAAAATATTTCAGAATCAAACCAATACAGTCTAACATGTGGTTTACATAACTGTGATCAAACTGTAGGTATCGCAAAACCAAATGATGTGATGGAGTCGAGTGTACAAAAGAATATACTTTATGGTTTGTTCTCTGTGTTTACTGTAATTCAAATCGGGGCAGTTTTGATTCTATTACTGCCAGCTGATGATGCTCCAAAGCATGGCAGCATATATAATATTGAATTAACTGACGAAGAAAATAGGATGGAAGAGATAGAAAGAGAAAGTTTATTCACAAACTCACAAAATTTGAATAATAATCATGAAAAAGACGGACAGACAGAAGTTTCTAACACGATTGCACAGCAGGTATGCAAAAACTGTGGGGTCTTGTGAGTCATAAAAATGGACAAATGTTCCTTATTTCAAAAATAGTAATATAAGTCTTGGCTAACTTCTATATTTCTCAAAAATTCTGGATTACGTCATAAAAGTCAGAATATAATAATATTAGGATTTCATTTCGTAATTGATGTTAGCATATTTCTAAGATATCAGATCCAAGTAAATAGTGCCAATTGCCAAAAATTATTCATCACTACCACAAGTCCACATTGAACTAAAATTAACTCCCCTGCATGATAAGCAGTGCATGAGTGTTCCAAAATATAATATTAAAAATACTTTATAATAGAATAGTATCATATCAGATATGGGCAGATAATTATACACTTGAGGGAGAAAATTTAACATGTGATATTCTCCCATTACCAGGTATTTGCAACAGCAAAATTTTTGTGGTTCAACAATAATGCAAAATTGTTGATTCCAATCTCACTTCATGTTGGAATTTTGCAATCATTCGTATTCGGACAATTTACAAAATATTGGGTAACTTGTGTACTAGGTAAGAAAAATAGCTAGTAATTAGATCAGCCATGTTCAATATTTTTTACGGCATTTAATACAATTCATCAAGTTAGTGATGGCTGAGCTTAAAACTGAGCACTCTACACTGAACACTACACAAAATCAATAACTAAAGAGAGCATCGACCAGAAGATCTGTATATGCTAGACAGCAATTGTTAAGCTTTAGTACCCTATTTTTACCTCATGTCTTCATTTATTTAATGGATACATTTTTCGGTACTTCAGTAGTGTGTGTGCCAGACTGCCAGGTAAGAGTTGTGCTATAGTTTTATTCCAATTCTCCTTTAGTTCGAGGACTATCTTGTATTAACCAAGTGAAAATATCCCCTGCCCATAGGTTTCAGTCGCTTCACACAACTTAATGTAAAATAGGCGAACACAATCATCAGTTACTTCCACATTGGCGCACACACACTTCTGCAGCGCCCATTTTTCAATTTGTATTATGCCTATACAATCCAGAACATTACAGCCCATTGTATTGAATATTAATGAAATTAGACAAAAAGTTATGCAATAAATGAGATTCTATCTACATCCTGACTGCTATACAAAAACCCCTTTTTCAGGAATATGGTACGTTGGATATGTTGCTGCAGCTTTTGGACTCGGTTCTGCAGTAGGTAGTTATGCTGTTGGAATGCTAACCAAATTAGCAGGAAGAAATTTAATAATGATCGGAGCCACTTTGATAGAAATTGGAATCGCTATTGGGTTGCTCATCTGGGAACCAGAAATTGTAAGCTTAACTAACCATTAGCCAAAAAACTCAATATAATAATTATATTTCAAAATTTTGCCACATTAACTACCAAAAAATACTTCCCTAAATCTTAACAAAGGAATAAGCCTAATTTTAAACTAAACATTTGACAATCCCGACATGAAATATAGAAAAGATGAAATTTAGATATTCAACATAAAATTCCATTTTCTTTCCAGGCAAATTCAACATGGTTATTTTTTGCTGTATCTGGGTGTTATGGTATACTTTTTGCAGTCCACAAGACTATCTTGACATCAGTTTATACCTTGTTCTTTCCGAAAGATAAGAAATCGGCCAGTGCATCTTTTTCAATATGGGATCCATTAGGAACTTCCATTGCTTATGCTATAGGTGGGGTAATATGCAACAAGGTATTTATAATAATAATGACTAGCATTCTTGTATTCGGAATTTCGCTTTATATAATTGCTGAATATATCGACAAAATGTCAAAAGAAAAGAAGGCATACAACAAAGAGGACAATGCTGAAGAACTGAAGTCATCAGAAGACTGATTACCCATTATTTGTACAGCCACAAAGCAAAGAGTTTCATATCCAACTCATAATTGAAGCATTTTACTTCTAAGATAACAATGCAAGTTTAAAATTTTTTGCCTGTGAAGCTATGTCTATTGGTGATACTATCTCTGTTGTAACAACAGATCTATATTTCGCTTTTTGAAACAATGATTCAAATTTACAATGTTGCAATACTATATCAGTGATCTTTCCAATTTTCCGAAGAAGGCCTGTGACCTTGCATAAAAAATAGTACAAAACTATAGTATAATTCACTTATGATTTTATCTATTATGGCAGAACATTTGAGACTTTTATTTTCATAGCATAATTGAAAGTGACATCCATTTTTTATATGTGTTCATAAACAAAAAATAAATAAACAATTTGAACAAATAAACAAAACTTTGTTATACCAACCAGGAGCATGTGATAAAATGAGGGGAACAACCATTTTCATGTAACTGATGTGAGTTTATGTGAAATATGGTTTAGTATAGGGCTGGGCATTTGCGAATCCAATAGTAAATTATTTGAATCGGTTCAGACGAAAGTTTTGAATCGCCACCATCTTAATTTTTATTTAATCGTAAAAAAAGCAAGATGAATTCCACAATTTTTTTAATTGAAATCATATTTTTAAAATGAAATTTTGACATATGACTCTTTTCTTTCCAGTGAGTTGTTGATGAAACATATTCGTGCGTGACAACTCAGCGATCTTAGCGAGTGATAGATTCTATGCTTCCAGTAATTTAGGAATCTGGAGTTGAATATCTTCGTAGTATTCGCGATTCGATTCGTTTCGTTTAAAAACATATTCAAATCCATTCTGAAATCATCAGATAGTCGAAAATGCCCAGCCCTAATAGGGAACAATCATTTGCAATAGGAAAATTAGACTGAAAGTAAGATGATACCCTTCCAAGTAGACGATTTCTCTGCTGAAGCTTCACCTTATCCCTCATGTACTTCCCGGCACGATAATGAAAATATGTGAGGTCTACACCTAATTCTCGTTGTAGATCTGGTTTACTGCGAAACTTTTTCCCAGATGGACTGAAAATTTGAAAAATATGGTCAATAAATATACCATAAGAAATACATAAATTTGCATTAATTTGCAACTGGTTTAGAATAATACAGCCGGTCTGTAAAATATCAACAAATAAAGTTACGGTAAATTATATTTTCACAGTTTCAGTTAAATTCAAGCTACCATCAACGATTAGAGAATTTGATAGAATGGGCATCATAAATGGGGCCACTCAACTTCAATCCAATTTATCCTGCAACATAATTGTCGATATTTAGATAAAATTATTAACCTTAAATTACACTTTTTTAATCCTATTATTGAAGTAACATAACATGACAACGTTGGAGAGAAACTGGCTTTACAATTTCACACAAGGTGATAAATTATAATGTTTTTATCATGCAAATTAAATCACAATAGCTCAGCTAAAACAAACTCTTCTCAGTAAAAAATTCTCCACTCATTTAAATGATAATTATGATAAGGAAAACTTTTAACTAAGGTGGAATAAAATTCTAGAAATAATTTAGATGAATTTTGAGGTCCCTTGATAAAAACTAAATTCCCAAACAGAGAGATTCAGATGCGATTCAATTGGCTGTCTCTCAGAGGTATGATATTTTTCTTTAGGGATATTTCCTTAAAGCAAAGATTGATAATAATTTTTTTTTCAAGTTCAATTGTTTTATTAGAAATATTGTTACTTGGTAAGAATGAAGCTAACAGAGGAATTAACTTGGGTTTTATTATTATTAATGTAATATCAAATTAGCAGATAATCTCATATGGACAATTAACTTTGCCTAATCTATTCTATTTATCAATGTATTGGGGTACAGATCAGGAGTCTACACTAAAGTTTTAGCTTATCAATTTGTTTACAAACAACAAGAGTTCTTTCAGTTTTTAACCCACCCTGTAATAAAAAAAAGTGATCGACAGCAGCAATGGCACTTGCTGAGTTGTGTGTTATATAAGATTATTCAGACTTTATTGCAGTATTGATATATTGTGCGGACATCGCGGAAAAGAAAAAAATTGAAACATGAAGTTTTCTAAATATGTCAGCGAGCCAAAAAATGTCATGTCGAAAATAAAAATTTTAAATATGAGTTTTTCTAAATATGACAGAGGCAGTCATCAGGATTTGCTTCAAACATAAAAAAAAATCATTCAATCCCACTTAGGATATTTCTCTTTTATATACCTGTAATAATATATATCTGTTTTTCCTCTTGACATCCCATTTTGACGAATTACTTCTTCTCTTGTCCATCCCTTGGGCAATTCAGCAACCTCATGCCTCTTTCCGCTCATGGTATTGTATGGTTTTACTCTGACGTCGTGTACACAAATGTTGCAAATTTTCTCCTCAGTAATAGCTAGTACCGTACTGTAGTACAAGAAAAACTAAAATGTCAGTGCTGCAGAATAAAAAGCAAGATTCAAGAACAAAAAATATGAGATATAGGCTAGAAAAACTACAGTAACTATGTTACCATGAAAAGGAGGACGGTAGTTCATGTAGTCTACTTTACATTACTACGGTACATGAACAATACAATCATATTCTTTGGCCATGACTGCATGACCAGATGAAGGTAAAAACTGAAATAGACTATAAATATGATTTTTACGCAATTGCTAATCCTATGTCTGAAAGTCTATGAAACTAGCATATGATCCACTGTCACACTATCAACTAACTTATAGTCTATCTAAAAGATATACCGTACTTCAGTCATTCCTGCTTCAATAGTTCACATACAGCTGCAAAGGCAGAAAGGCAGCTCAGGTCTAGTGTAGTTTAGTACCACAAGTACTTCCGGTGGGCGTAGCATAACGACTTTTGTATATGTTATTCCTAACCCCAATCTGAATGTCATCCAAAAATTACGTCACTACGACGTCACAATCACGTCATGTAGAGCTATAGCTACTATCGTCCGAAATGGCATCTGCGCCGACGATACCAAACTCACCAACGCCAGCGGTCTCTCTCATATCAGGATCGTTGCGACGAGAAAACGAGAGAAATAGCTTGCTCGATTTCGGGTTATCGTCTGCGTGTTTTGGACGACCGTCCGTACACTTTGGAGGTATTCATTACGCCACTGTGGCGTCGTAGTGACGTAATTTTTTGGTGGAATAGTCAGGTGGGGGGTAGGAATGACATATGCAAAAATTGTTGAGCCAGACCAACTAGAAGTGCATGTGGTACGGTACTAAACTACTGAACTATACCAGACCCTGCAGTTCGGTGGATGCTGTGGCTTTTTTTTTTTATTGTATTTGCTGATATTTTATCAACTTATGGGCACTGTCAGACTGCTTCACAGCTAAAAATTGTCTAGCTGAAGTATTTAAAATTCAGATAACATCTAAACATCATTGTTAAGCAGTTGGCCCTTATAACACAAGCTAAACACGAGAGCAATGCTCAAATAATCCGCATACGGACACGGAAGCCAAAACGAAATATCCCCCCCCCCCCATTGAAATTTCAATGCAATTGCTCGAAAAAAGCGAGTTTCTCACAACAACAGGAAGAAAATGTATTGGTGTACAAGCAGAGGCCGCAACCAAGCATCGCCAATCAAGTGTAGCAACCATTGAGGTTATAGGCCTATACACCTCAATGGTAGCAACTGGGAAGTGGGAAACCACAGCGAGACTCACGGGTGGAATTGAAAAAGCGGTAGTCCCGTAGTATGTGAACCAAGATGGAACGTACCTAGTATGTGTACCAGGTTAGGCCATAATTTTAATCCAATTTTCCTTATTTTAGTTCTAATACGAGTTCGGGGACTAGCCCAAGTGATTCCCGTAGTATTTGTACCTGGAATTATGGCCTAACCGTAAATATATACTACTAACCTGGTACACAATTACGTTCCGGTGTCCACTATTTTGGTTCACATACTACGCGACTAACGGGTAGAGTACCGAAAAAGCATCTACTGATATTAGCAGTCGGATTGCTGAAATGATTGAAATCCGCTATAGTATAAAAAATTATAAAACTGGTATCAGAATCTCGAGGGAAAATTCAAAATTAAGAACACTTCAAGGACACTGAACATATGGTCCGAAATATGGAATGATATGATATATAAAATTTTTAATTTTACAAGAAGAGGTAACGCCCGAAACTAGTTTTCGAGATTTTATGTTTGTTGTTTTCCATTTGGCTTTGTTTGTTTACTAAGGAAAACCGCAGCTAATCACTCAGTCTAGAGTTCAGGGTCGGCCAACCTTTTGGGCCGAAGGGCCACATGTGGTTCACTAATAATTGCGCGGGCCACTTGACATGGTAGTTATGAGTTTAGGTAATCTGTAGTCTAGTTTTGCTACACTGACCACAGATTAATGAAAAAACAAACAATACCCTCACACCAAACTTTCACAATTATTAGAACAATAAAACTGTTGTTTCCCAAACATTGACGGGGTGCCTTCAGGGGTTATTCCCGAAAGTTTCGCCAAAGACAAGCCAAGACGTTTGATCATTTTTATCGCAGCTTTTAACAGATCCATGCCTCTAGCTCTAGTCGTTCTCTTAATATGGACAATGGCTGCGAGCTCCACGGTACTTTCATATCATCATCAACTCCCCGCAAGTCGCCAACGATGAAAATTTTCCCGCTTTTGTAATTAGAATTTCCGCAATAGAGTTCCCAAGCTCCTTAACACGACGAGTTATTGTATGTCTTGACACGGTTATTTTTATTTCCGGACGTAAAACATTGGCAATCCAAACAATACATAATATACAACCCCTAACGAATTCTCTATCTGAGAATGGCTTCGATTGTAAGGGCTGGCAGAGCTCATTTCAGGGAAATAAACAAATTGTTTGTATCACATCTTTGTATAGGCCTACTACATCACTCGAAAAATCTTTTTATTCAATTCTGAAAATCAGCGCGGGACACTCGAAATGCTTCTGCGCGCCACGGGTTGGACAACCCTGTAGACGAAATTTCGGAAAAATCGTACTGTATTGTATGTATGAAACAAGAGAGCAATGCTCAAATATATGGACACGATAAATTCTGTAATACACCTCAGAATATTGCATTGAACAAGTTTCATGCAGCGCATGTTGTGTGCTTTTTAAACAGGAATTATACAGTACTGTGTATGCGCCAAATACGACACAGTATACACATATACTATTCAGGCCTGGGCAAGACCGATAGAGCCAGGGGCGGACTAACCCCCTTTGGTGCCCTAAGCACTGGAGGCTTTGGTGCCCCCATATGTGTCTTTTAAAATAAATATAATTAAGTGTATTATCCATCAAAAATACTCACAACCAACAGTAAAAAAATACAACTTCTACGAACAATTTTAGGTTCCTTACAATTTTTTGACTGTGAAATTTTGCTCATATTCCCAAAACTAATCTTATTCTTACATAATACATCTTTTACATTAAATAATGAACAACACAAAATTTTGAAAAGATAAAATTGAAATAAAACAATACCAACAGTAAGGAAGCAAACGATGTTATTCGGTACATTTACTTGAATTTGATTCTGATAAATTTTCTCATATTATAAAAACAAGTCTCTCTCCATAATAGATACTACGCCACTGACATTACAAAGGCACCACTTACATTTGAAAAGACAGAAGTCTTTCACTTACTTTTGAAAAGTTTTTTCCTAATTTTTTTAGCTGCAAAGTCTTTGATTAGATCCTCAAAACTAAGCTTATGTAACACATCTGCCTCTATACTCAACAGAGATAAAGCATCTAGTATTCTAGTCTGTCTTGTTTCATAGTTGTTCTGTAGGGGTTTTTAATATACTTCAGCTGAGAAAATGAACGCCCTGCTGAACAATTTGTGATCATTAATGTTAAAAATATTCGAAAACTATTGTCTACATTTGGAAAAGCGCACTCAATGTTATATTCTACAAGAATTTTGTAAAGTTCAGCATGACTGAATCTTGATTTTTTTTTCCTGTGTCATTGAATTTATGGAGCACATATAAATGAAACTGCTGAAGCTCAGCTGAGAAATTACTGTTGAAATCTTCTGGGTAGGCATCAATAAGCTTTTGACAACCCTGCGAATACCTTTCCTTCTCAGCAGATGAAGAGACATTTGGTTGCAGTGGTAGCGTGAGCGCTTCATATCGTTCAAATTCATCTCGTGGAATGCGCAGCTGGCCTCGTAATGTTGCATACAGATGCGCGCATATTTGTAAGTCTACATTCTCACTTTGCAGAACTTGACTTACTCTGTGAAAATTCTGTAAAATTTCATTCCAAAACAATAACATAAAACGAATTCCAGCTCTTGCATTTTATCTGCAATATAAGTAGTCTGCCTAGGTTTGCATCAACTGGCTTAGCAGAATATGATTTCCATATATTCTGGGAATTGTCACGATTAAGACTCACGCGTCAAGTCTCAACGTGAATCGAAATACCAGATGAACCGAGTACAAACTGCAGTTTAAAATTTTACCAGTACTTATTAGTCTAGTCTACCTTACCAGAAAACTCCCTAACTTCGCTGACCTCTAGATCGCTGAAATGCGATCGCGGAACCGCCACATAGTGCGCCATTTTTAATTTTGATGTTGTCGCTACACCAAACTTTCGACAAGTAAGTTTCAGTGTTCATCACTAATGTACCTTCCCAGAGCATAAACCTCCTTGTTGACTTCGAGTAATTGGCCAATCAGCAAGATGCAAAAAAGTGACGTAACAATGCACCCTTTTCGCATCCGCTCAGACACTTTTCTCACTCAGACATGGTTGTAAACATTACCTCGTTTTCGCGTTTTTTATCTCTATTCGTTAATTTTCAGTTATGTTTCGGAAATTTGAGTATAAATCAGATAATTAAATGATCACCATGTCTTTTTATAAGTTTTAATTCAATTGCCGTAAATGAAAAATTGGTGTAAAAATAGCTGTGTTAGACTAGGCTAAAATTCCTTACCGGTACTTATAAAAAGGTGATTATTGTACGCCATGAAACATAATGATGGTCTCAACAAATACCCCATTTTACAGGGGCCAACTCGCGAAACCACTCTTAACATAAGCCCCGAGAATTTTGCAATTGTAAAGTATAGGAAGAATTTTTCGGGGGTCAAAGGTCGAGGAAAGGTCCATTGATGTACACGATTTTTTAAAGATAGTTCGCAAACCTCCAAACATTGATCGAGAAGCTTAATATGATGCTTGAGGAAAAGAAAATACAAACAAGTCTGAGTTGTCTGTTCAACTCGTAATATTTTATTAAACACCGATGAACTATTGAAAATTCTGTTATAAAAATTTCTGTGGTGCCCCCCTTTGCTTGGTGCCCTAAGCACGTGCTTATATTGTTTACTGGTTAATCCGCCCCTGGATAGAGCATATTATTTAAGTAAAAAAGGCAAGTTTCGCCGCTGCCAATTTTA